AATTCTTCCACAAATCTTAGTGTGCAGTTTTTTAGTAATATTCGAGGTAAAAAAGTCCGTGTTTTGTGACTGTGAGGTGTGGTGACCAAATATCTTAACAAGCATACAACGCGTTGTGGTGTTCACTCTTCTAAGCGAGCTTTCAAAGTTTCGAAGAACCGCTACGCCAAATCATTATTAGTCGTTGCCGATTGAATTTTTTTGAGCAACACTTATATTATTGCTTCGGCTGTAAGTGATGAAGCGTTTTGTTAGCCTAAGACTTCCACAGCTATCTTGACTGGCTACAACAAATCAACAATTGACTACAAAAGAAGATTGTCTTAATTCCACTTTTCTAACAAGTTTATATCAATCAACGCTTTCTTCAGGCAATAATTGAGCTTCAGAAACCGTTCCGCCATCACAATTATGGAATTCTATCTTGTTTTAACACCCAGTACCAAACTGAGTTAAAAAGAAACACCACACAACACTAACATCGTTAGTGTTGTGTGGTGTTTTGGTCCCAGGACGTTTAGTGTTTGTGTCAGGGTTTGGGTCCCAGGACGTCTCGTGTCTCGATATCCCGGGACTTTTCGTAATTTTAGTTGTCTCGAGTCCCGGGACTTTCGGGTCGAGACTCGAGACGAGACAAGATTGTCGAAATTTTTATATAATCACTTTTATTTACAAATCATTAAAGGAGCCTAGCGCCATCTCACAGTTTAATGAATAATTACTGGGTCTACTACGTAACTACTGAGTACACAACACAATAAATGCGTTTGACGCGCTGCCATCACGCCGCTATATTAGTTGTTCTGTGACGTTTGAATTACGATTGTGTCTGTGTCGTTTGAGCCAGTCAGTCGTCACTTTCATTTATGATGTTAGTGTTGTGTGGTGTTTCTTTTTAACCCAGTTTGGTACTGGGTGTTAAAACAAGATAGAATTCCATAATTGTGATGGCGGAACGGTTTCTGAAGCTCAATTATTGCCTGAAGAAAGCGTTGATTGATATAAACTTGTTAGAAAAGTGGAATTAAGACAATCTTCTTTCGTAGTCAATTGTTGATTTGTTGTAGCCAGTCAAGATAGCTGTGGAAGACTTAGGCTGACAAAACGCTTCATTACTTACAGCCGAAGCAATAATATACGTGTTGCTCAAAAAAATTCAATCGACAACGACTAATAATGATTTGGCGTAGCGGTTCTTCGAAACTTTGAAAGCTCTCTTAGAAGAGTGAAGACCACAACGAGTTGTATGCTTGTTAAGATATTTGCACACTGGTCACCACACCTCACAGTCTCAAAACACGGACTTTTTTACCTCGAATATTACTAAAAAACTGCACACTAAGATTTGTGGAAGAATTGTAACATTTCAAAATTCAAAATGAAATAGGGATATATTCGAAAAGCCTACAAAGGCGTTTCGAAAATATCTCTAGTATCCGGACACCAAATGTGAAATAATGGGCGCTGAACCAATATAGTACTAATAGCTCTCAAGTACACAACGAGCTTGACGTGTATTTTGTAAATCAAATGGAACAGGCAATTGAACAATGAAAAAGGAAAAAACTATCCTTAAAAATGTACCCGAAATTCTGAAAAAAAGAGCAACATTAAAAAAGGAGTTTCAGTTGTTTGAAGCAACCGGAAAACATACAGAAAATTTGGAACTGCTGTATGAAGCCTTAAATGCAATTAAACCGACATCTGTTGAAAACAAGAGAGTGTTCTCTTGTCAGGTGATATTATTACAAAATTAGAAATAGATTGTCAGACAAAGCTTTCGACGCTCTGATTTTTTTTAAAAGCCTATTTTATTAAATTAGCAAAGAAGTCTAATTAATGGGTTAGTTAATTATTTAAAAGACGGATTTATGTGTGTTTTATTATTTATATTTAGATTATTTAATCTTGAAACAAATCTGTAATTATAAGAATTAACAGTGTTGTGATTATGACAATGATTAGATATTAGAATTACTAGATAATAGTAAAGTTATTAAGAATTAGTACATTTTTTACCAAAATTCATTTTATAACTATTAGATTTAACTACTTAAATTGAATATGTGTGATTAAAAGAAATAAACGAAGCAATTATTAAGACTGAAGTCAACGTTAAAGTTATTAAGATTTAATTTTCTGTTTAATAAATGTTGATTTCTACAAAAAAAAATGCTTTTTTAATACGTTTAACCAGAAATTAACTCAATTAAAATTCTTCATAAAAGGCGTCCACCTCTTAAATTTTTTTTAAAAGTCTCGAATTCCCGGGACTTTGATTGTAGGCTGTCTCGCGTCCCGGGACTTTGAAATTGTCGGGAATTCCCAAACCCTACTCGCAACTCATTAAGTCACCGCACCACGAAGGCATCAAATCTAGTAATGATTGATTAAATCAAGTCTTTCCTGCACACCCTCTCCGGACCCTATATAACACTGAAAATTTGAAGTCTGTAAGACTGGTGGGCTCCACATGGCCTAAAATATTTTATACTTCGGTCGATGTTTTTCTTCACCGCCAAGATAAATCTGCACTTCAAATTAAAAATTAACAATATCATTGGTGCCGCCGGGGAACCCGAGTTGCTCGTGTACTATGAAATTTACATCAAACGCTCAGCTCCTAATCCACTCGTCACACCTAAGCCTCTAATCTTATGTGTGTGATCTCTTACGGAAAACAGACGTAGTTATTCACTGCTGCTCAAAGTTACTCCGCGAGCTATGAACAAGACTATGCTCGCAGTTTTGGCTCTACCACATGGCTCTATCAGAAATGTTCTGTTGTAAAACGGTAAAAAAAAGAAGAAGTATTTCTTGTTACCCTATGAGTATTCACCTAGCACTAATATTTATGAAGATGCAGCAAAAGCCAATTATTCAGAATGTTTTATTCATAAATATAAGCGAGTGCGTCAAACTGTTATAGGTACAAAGAATCAAACTGCTTTTGCTAATGTGTAACATTTGTTTATCAAGAGGATATTTAATACATAATCGCATAAATATGTTAAATATATAGAACTTGTTATTTAGATCAAATTGTCTGTAACCTATACATATAACTTAAGTTTATTCTAGCGTGCACAAGTAGTCTAGGCGTGTGTTGATAACATAATAGAAAAACGCGATATACGATATATATATATATATATATATATATATATATATATATATATATATATATATATATATCTTAATTTATTGATTAAAATATAAGCGTACAGTATATACAACCAAATCGCTTATATTTATACTAAATTTACAAAATAAGATAAAATACACAAGAAAAAATATATTATATATTATTAATAAATTACAGCCACAACAGTATAATGAGATCTATTTACTTTATCATAAATTAAACTTAATTACCTAAACGTGTTAAAGTGTTTAAGAATATTAATACATTTTTATACATTGCGCTGGGTTTGTCAAAAAATATATCTGCGTCTGATTGGCCCTATATATAATATACTCACTTTATGTGATAGGTGACATGTCGCTTACAGTGAGTATCGAAAAAGAGGAAAATGTTTATAGCTCTTGAAGTCTCCAATATCTGTCGGTATAACAATCTTATATTTTATATCTAAAAAACCAAGACGACTCGGTTAGCAGTACTAAACGTATGAGACATCTTATGCTTCGATTATCTACTGACTTGACAATGGTGGCGATTACGCAAATCATTCCTAGTATCGGACACTATAATAATCCACACAAAGAGTCGTAGTAGCTCAGGGGATAAGCGCTCGCCAAGGATTTCACCGAAGGCGACCAGAGTTTGATCCCCACCCACGTCAAATTGTTAATTGCAATTTTACGTGCGGATTTACCACGTGCTCGACTGTTAAAGTATTTTCAGTATTAATTTAATATTTCGAGCTGTTTTTGAGAAGATACTGCTGCTCATCTCCTTATTTAGTTTCCATCTGTCGCCTCATGACCAGGAATACATGATGATGTGGGATAGTGGATGGTCTTACTTCGCCACCATACGGCTGAAGTGAACTTACCATTTAATATTTTGGTTCTTATATATTTTATTACAATTAACAAATTTATTTGAATTAAAAATCAATCCCATGCTAGCTTAATGTACTCTTCTGCTAGCTTTATCTACTCTGTTTATGTAGATGCAAGCAATCCTATTTCGATCACCACTGACACCATTTAAATTATGAATCGCATTTACCACGCACTTAGTGGTGAAGGAAATCATCGTAAAACTTGAATGTCTGAGCATTTAGTCTCACAGAAATAAAAGGTAGCCTGTTCCTGTTTCCAGCAGTGAAAAGAATGTGGGTGAAAATGCAAATCAACTCAGGAATTGTATTAAAACGTAAACACATATCAAATCCAGTGACGTGTAATGGTTGCATTTTGCCGGTTATGCGGTTATGCGAAATAAATCGGTATCATTAGGTCACGCTATACAAATGTACGCGTATACTAAATATTACAGTTTATGCAAATGTACCGCTGAAATTTACGCTTCAACATAACACTAATTTGAACTACTTTTTCATATAATTAAATCAAGTGCTGAAATTCCCGTACACTTTTATGTCAGTGTATTATATTTTTATCGGAAAACTTTATGCTAGCTAAAAAAATTAAAATAAAGATTTTTGATAACTTAACAAAAAAAAAATAGTAAACTTGACAAAAATATTTTCAGTAGGGATAAAAATATCAGATTTCAGTTTTGCTACTTTTTTTATCAAAAAGTCATCTGTAAGTCTCACTTCAATAAAAACTTAGTAAGTACGTTATTTATCATAAAATGTTCGCAATTTTTTACCAGTTAAAATAAACAAAATGAGCTTTGGATACTTAGTTAACATTACTAATACAATTCAAAATAATTAAATAATGTCGTCGTAAATATTTAAAAAATGTTGGGAATTCAGGTGCAAGATGTATTTACTACGCTACTAAATAATATACACCTATTTGAAATTATTTAAGACATTCATAAAAATATAATTGCTTACCTTCTTTTACAAAAGTTAAGATATTCACCTAATAACAACTAAAAACAACAAATAATTTACACAAAATCTTGCATATAAAAATGCACAATTTGCACAAGAATTTAAATTTCGAACGATATCAAAAAATTGCAACAATTCGAAAAATGTTGTTATTTATTTATTATTTTTTACGGCGTCGTGCTGAAAATTCCGAGTGCCAGTATTTCGTTTTCGCGCACAACCAGCACTGGATGGCGCGCAGCTTTATACTGGCAGATTTAGACTCTGGCTCGGGCTTGGGACTCGCAGCCGTGCCAGCATTGTCGTTAAATGTCACATACAGACAACAGACATGCGCACAAACGCAAATATTTACGCATGCGGTTTTTTAAAACGCAATTACAACTCTATTTTTTACTATATTACAACATTGTTGAATACGTAATATGGACCATTAAAAATTACATCGTACGTTTTCTAATTGAATGGCTTCACACTAAATCTGAATTTGGCTGCAATCGGCTATGTAAGTTAAAAACTATTAAAAACTGCGACTTTATAAAAATTCGGCTCATAGAATTACTAAAATTAAGCAAAATCGATAAAATAAATTTAAATAAATACGCTAATCGACGAATATCTCGACTATCTTGTGAGCATTACAAAAAAATTTCCATCTATACTAGTTTTAATTTTTTTCCATTTCAAAAATTTATCTCTATATTTCAGGAAATAACTAATCAAAGTTAAACTTTCACTAATCTAGGTAACTGAGAGCTTAAATTAAATTTTTACTAATCTAGGTAACTGAGAGCTTAAATTAAAGTATATATAAGTTGTTCAAAGTTTACCTATGGTTAGTTACCTAAGGTAATAGGTACCTTTATAATCTACAACAATTAAGCTCTGTTTATATCAATGTGTTTATATTACTTTACATTATAAAGAAGTTTTCTCAGACTTTCCATAAGAACAATTAACTAACATCAGATAATTAATTCCGGAGAGTTAATTGAACCATTACAAATTTTTGGATAAAACTTACGTTAAAATATCAATTGGTATTGGTGGTACCACTCATCACAGTCGCGGTAATTTTAAATCTCATATTTACGGTTCCAGACAATCATGTAATATTCTAGAACAGATTTTTTTATAGGATAAAGGTGTTCTGTGAGAGCGTGGTCCTTCCCCGGTCCAGCAGCCCATTCGTGTTATAACTATACCTGTAATATAGCTGCAGCATGGCTCTACCACGTAAAAAAGTCGTAAAAAGAGCTATAAAGGTTTATTTTAAAATTCCTAAAAGTACAAAATTTGCTACTATAAAATTTGCTATTATTATTGAAATAAAAATGGGTGGTGGATGGTTACATAGTAGCAACAAAAACATTGTATAATTCTTGTTACAGTTAATCTACGCACTACGCGGCAAACCTCCCGATACCATCCACACCATCTGGATGCTTGGCGGTCCACCACTGAACGTTTCACAAGGAGTTTTCTTCCGCGTACGATCTCTCTGTGAAATAGTTTACCACCGGCGATTTTTCCAGACCGATACGATCTGCGGACCTTCAAGAAAGAGCTTACACCTTCAATTCCCCTGGTGTTGCGGATGTTCATGGGTGGCGGAAGACACTCGACATCAGGTGAACCGTATGCTCGTTTGCCCACTCTTCTATAAAAAAAATTCTTGTTACAGTTACAATAACTACGCACTCTTCGAAAAGATTTTTTTTTTTAATATCTGCGTTTGATATTATAATAGCCTTAAAATCTATACAAGTCAGGATTGCGTTTTTAGCTAAGCTACAAAATGAAGGAAATCAAATAATATACAATTTACCAATAATTCTGCACCTTTTCTTTTAGTTTTAAAAACCGTTACCCCATGGTAGCATTTTCTGGCGTAATGGGGATTTCATGTTATATAATTAGCTATTTGTCTTATTTTTCCGGAGCCGATAGAGTTTGCTATAAAGTCGATGCATTTGGCACTCGGATTTGCGGTCCAAACTTCCCACGTCTTAATCGCCTCTTCCGCTTACTCTTCTAATGGAAATAAAATTACACGAGATAAATTTTTTTGAGAATCATAGTTACAAACCAACATTTCTTAATTTCATGACAGTCATTGTCGACCGTCGTTGTGTTAATTGTGATTACTAAAAAACTAAGTTTCCTAAAGATAAAAACACGTAGTTTCTACATAGCAGACTTTTTTATCAAAAGTGTCAGGAAGTCATTAAATTATTTAAGTATTTTAGTAGTCAAGTTTGAATTACTTTAAAACATTCCTACCGTCGGCTACTGTGTTGCCGTTTTTTATCCGCTCGTGAAACTTTATATTGGAATAAGGTTTCACGAGCAGAGATAAAACGGCAAAAGAAACTCCACGCTCGATCCACTTTTTTGTCAACGTACATGAGATCCGAAAAGCAACTATTATGTCTTTTAATATCAAACGTTAAGCAAATATTCGTGACTTCAAATATTTAAGGCGACATTTCAATAATGAGTGAACGGTACTGGTTAAATAAATAAACGATTGCGTTCTTCCCATAACTTCCAGTTTTGTTTATTGTTTTGCGATATTGCTTGATAAACTGTAGAAAGAGTATCTTCAGGATTAGCAACAGAAACTTTTTTATTCAATGTAGATTATAAAAGATACTTATTGTAAGTTACTCTTTTGTTTAATTTACCAATGGTTCGGAAAATATTCTATCCTGGAAATAACCAGCAAAAAACCCTGCGAGACTTTTTTTAAATAAACAGTTTACAATCACGTAACAGTACGTTTGCACTGAGAAACATCACGTAATGTTTTGAAACAAACCCCATAAAATAAATCACATAACATGTTTTGTTAATGGTGGCGTTCGCACTCATAAAAGTATAAAATTTTTAACAGATATTCGAACTTATCTTTCAACATGACAATATTTCTACAAATTTGTTTTCAAACATTTTGTTTCTTTAGTTATATAAAGATATAATATAATTAAAATATGTCAGCTGTCAAACATATTTCACTGCCACATGTTCTTTGACTATGCAAACGCTTTTTGATACATTGACAGAAAACAGTGTTTAAAACATGTTTTTGTGAAAATCGCGTCAGTGCAAACTCACGGTAATATGTTACACAAAACACAAAACAAAGTAGAAATAGCTTAGTAGAGATTACCTCATTCCCAGGATTTATTTTCATAAATCCCTCAATATTATTATAACTCTTTTTATACAAACTTAGTTTAATAAAGTTTTTGAACTTTGAGCTGGTCAAATTCTGTATATTTTCTAGAGATTTGATTGCGAAAGCGTATATAAATCGCCCCAATAATGAATTACTGACTCGGTGGAGTCGAGTAACCAAATATTGTTCCGTCAGATAATGTATTTTGCTGCATATCAGGCCATTAGTGGGCATTAGTAGAGCACTAATGACCTGACTCGCAGCAAAAAACTAAAGCCTCGTCTATATAAATTAAACTACTTAACTTTTTAATAATCTAAAAGTAAAGAACGACGTTTAAATTCCCTATATCCATCATTTATCACGTTTTTCGTATTTGTGTCTTGTGTATTTATGTCTATTTTTGGCACACTCTGTAGCTTAATCTACATTTAACATTTGAGATGTTCTTAGATTCGTCTCAATTATGAAAGTAACATAGACCTAAAAAAAATCTTTTCGTGGTTGAGTGTTTGTTTTTTAATTACTGTTTTAACGACAGGGGCTGTTTAACTATTGTGAGCCAGTGCATGACTCGTATCTCACCTGATAGTAAGTGTTGATTTAGCCAAAGGTGGTAAAGCGCACTCACCGTTGAACTGGGTTCAGTTAAGCTATAGATTAGGATATAAGATTCCATTACGAAGCAAGCCGTTAGTTAAGCAACTTTCGTATCGACAAAGGTTTGGCGACTAACCAAGCTACAGCTTTTCCGACGATGGAACTGGGAGGAAGGAAGACACTTTACGAAATGAATCCAGTTAAAGAGTTATTTGTCACCTGTGCTCGGGACTGACAGGAATGGCTTAAACCAATTTAAGATCACCATTAAGCTTCTAAGTACGCCTTTGCATTAGATAAATCCAAAATTGCCCCGAAGTTAAATATCTCCGTATGTACGTAGGCGGTCCCATAATGAATTGGCCTAACTATGAACCAATGAAGGAAATGATACGAAACCAATTTTATTTTTCAATATAATCACCATGAATACTAACACACTTCTGACATCTGTGAATCAACATCTCTAAACCTTTATAAAAATAATTACATTTTTTATCCTCAAAATGACTGAAGACGGCCGCCTGCAACTCTTCATCGCTTGAAAATTTTCTTCCTTTTAAGTCCCGCTTTAAATTTGGAAATAAATAATAGTCGGACGGGGCCATATCTGGACTGTAAGGTAGATGTTGAACTTCTGTGAACCCGCATTGACGAACTGCATCCTTCGAAACACCAGCGGTATGAACAGGGGCGTTGTCATGGAGCAACAGGACACCTTTAGACAGCTAGCCTCTTCGTTTTTACTTTATCTTGTCTCGTAATTTATATATTAAAGAAGCATAATATTTGCAGTTCACGACTGTATTACGTTCTTTAAAATCCACCATCAAAATGCCTTGAAAATCCCAAAATATTGTGCACATGAGTTCTTTAGTCGATTGTTGCACCTTTGCCTTTCTAGGGGGCTTTTCACCCTTATAACGCCATTCCATTAACTTGCGCTTGCTTTGTGGATCATAATATAAGATCATAGTTTCATCATCAGTCACTAGCCGCTCGATCACAGTCTTTGAATTTTCGCCACAAAGATCCAAAAACTCCGAAGCGCAGCGCACTCTTTCCTGTCTCTGTACCGCTGAAAGAAGTTTCGGTACCCATCTTGCACTCACTTTTTTCATGTGAAGATGTTCATGGATCGCGCAATGAACGGTACTCTTAGAGAGCCCAAGCCTTGCTGCAATTTCTCTAATCTTCCAACGGCGGTCACTCAGAACCTCCTCTTCGATAAGAGCAATCGTTTCGGGAGTGAGCACT